TCCTGAAGTCATCAGGAGAGGCCGGCTGACTTCCATGGCTGCTCTGTGCTGGCTGCAGGGAGACAGGTGCGTTGAAAAAGTAACCAGCCAGAGGCAGGGAATTCTAATTTTTGCGCTTCCCTGCTCTGGCACCCTAAGGCGGCCTCATTATGGGCACCCCGGCAGGATTGTTAAGAGCTGCCCCGTTCATTTAGAATTCCCTACCCTGGGCCTTCAGATTCTCCTCTGGTCTGCAAGGCTTTAATAAGTCACTAAAACACACCTCTTTAGGAAAGCTTACCATCTTCCTGGGTGACGATTCTCTAATTTAACTGCACTAACCACTTCCCTTGCACCCATAGCGGCTCACTCTCTCTATCCTGACACCCCTTGGTTCTTCCACACACCACTTTTACCAGCTTATTCCAATACAGGCAAGTTATACATCCCAATCCCTCCAACCCTCTGACATGCTGGTATTTCTTTTAAGTGTCTTTACCCCTTCCTCGTAGATTGTCAGCTCATTTGAGCAGGTCCTTCTTTACCTCTGGTCTCTGTTATATTCTGTATGTAAATTACTTGTCAAATATCCCTATTCTATAATTGTAAAGCGACTCAGAATATATTACCACTATATAAATGATAATAATTATTATGATACCTAAGGTGCCTCTTTAATATTTTGCCAACATTAGACAAGAGACTGATTCAGCATAGTGAGTAATGCACTCACCCTAATAATACAGGCCACAGCTAGTCCACAGTCAGGATGCGCATCAGCAAGTCGAAATGAGGTACAGAATGCAGGTAGGCAGATAAAGGCACACAGGCTCAATCCCTCTCAGAAAACACAGGCTCGAAACCAGATTTATTCTTGACAGAAGTGGGTTTCTCAAGCGATCTTGAACACTTCCACTATATTAGGCTCAACTCTACCACCTCTGGGGGACAGCTGCTCTATGTATCTAAAGCAGTTTTCCTGAAAAAAAAAATATATTTTTTCTGGCTCTGATGTCACATTGTGTGCTTTTGACATAGTTACCGGTGTTTGTATGTCAAATGTCACATGTCACACTTTATTAGATCCCTGAGCACTGGAACATTATATACACAGGCAGTGTAGAAACATTATTTTTTTGTTGTTGTTTTTTTTTCGGTGGTGGGGGTTACAAAAGTGAGGATACAAAATGAATTTGAAACTTAAGACCAGAATAGGTGAAGTGACTATTTTAGGTGACTTAAATAATTTTTCGAATTCAGCTATTTTGACCATAATGGATTACTCCTAGTACCTTGATCGTTTCACTGATTTGAAGTGGTTATGGTGCAATGCTTCTGTATGTGCAGTGTTTCACTATGGAATGCTGCACATACAGAGTTTAATTTCTGTTGCCGTTGATGTAACTCCACCTCCGTCAGCATCGCTGGGGCCTCATTAGCCAGCCGTCGCTGGGTTCTCATTAGCCAGCCTGGAACAAAGGTTCTGAGCTTTCTAATGTCAATTATGTACGTGTTTGGCATCTGTCTTCAGCATACACAGCATGCCCATGTCCTGCCCTCAGCTAAAAATAATATAATTAATAAATATATTTTTGGTGCTTAGATTAATGACACTAGACTTTATATGTCCTTGTAAACATCAAAATCATCCATGTGTAACCATCGAACAGAGAACCGATGCAGTGTACACAAAGACACACAATCAATCGTTGCTGGGCACAAACTGGATGTCAATCGATACATTTCACAGAGTAACTACAGACAAATAACAATATATATTTTCCATCTATAAATATATATCTTTTAATAAAAATATCCTTTGAATACTCTCAATATATATATATATACATAGGCTACATATTTATATTTTATTGGGGGTACTATTATGTAATGTCTATACGTGTCACTGACTGTTCTAGTAATGAGTGTGGGATTATAGTTTGTGGACTGTTATACGCTTTACTGAGTTACACTCTCTATTTTATCAAATTTTTTTTATTTACCACTAACTTTATTTCGGATCAGAAACCAAATATGATTCTCCACCTTTCTCCACCTCTCACTAAAATTCTCAATCTCTCTCTCTCCTCTGGTATATTTCCATCGCCCTTCAAACATGTAACTGTAACTCCAATTCTAAAGAAGCCCAATCTTGATCTAACTCCCTATCCAACTATCGTCCTATGTCGCTACTGCCTTTTGCATCCAAGATCCTTGAAAGAATTGTGTATGCGAGATTGACAGACTTCCTCAAGTCCAACTCTCTGCTAGACCCGCTTCAGTCTGGTTTCCGCGCTAGGCACTCTGTGGAAACGGTACTGACCAAAGTATCCAATGATCTACTCGTTGCAAAATCTCGTGGTCACTACTCTATCCTAATTCTCCTTGACCTGTCTGCGGCTTTTGACACTGTTGATCATCAACAACTTCTTCTCATCCTTCGCAATATCGGTCTACAAGATATTGCTCTCTCCTGGTGCTACCTCTCCCAGCGCTCTTTCAGTGCTTCTATCTCTGGCTCTGCTTCTTCTCCCCAACTCTTCTCTGTTGATGTCCCCCAAACTTCAGTCCTTGGTCCCTTACTGTTTTCCATCTATACTGCCAACCTTGGTAAACTCATTAGCTCCTTTGGCTTCCAAATCTACCTGTTCTCTCCTGATCTCTCCCCGTCCCTCTTCACTAGTGTATCTGACTGCCTCTCTGCTATTTCTAACTAGATGGCTGCCCACTTCCTTAACCCCTTAAGGACCAAACTTCTGGAATAAAAGGGAATCATGACATGTCACACATGTCATGTGTCCTTAAGGGGTTAAACTAAACTTGACCAAAACTGAAATTCTGGTCTTTCCTCCCTCAAGTGTTGTTACTCCTGTGTCTGTCTCCCTCCAAGTCAACGGTGCTACCATCAGCTCCACCACGCAGGCTCGCTGCCTAGGTGTTCTCTTTGACTCCGACCTCTCTTTCAAGCCTCATGTTCAATCTATCGCCAAATCCTGTCATTTCCATCTCAAAAAACATTGCGCGCATCCGCCCCTACTTAACGCCAGATGCGACTAAGGTGTTGGTCCATTCCACTGTCCTTTCTTGCCTTGACTACTGTAATCCGCTTCTCAGTGGTCTTACGTGCTCCCAACTTGCGCTGTTACAGTCCATAATGAATGCGGCGGCGAGGCTCATCTTCCTGTCCGCCCGCACCTCCCATGCCTCACCCTTCTGTCAGTCCCTACATTGGCTTCCTATAAAATATAGAGCTCAATTTAAAATTCTGGTTCTTGCTTTCAATTCTCTACATAATGCTGCTCCCACCTATCTATCCTCCCTTATACACAAGTATGTCCCGTCTAGGCCCTTACAATCTGCTGAAGACTTACGTCTATCTTCTGTCCGTACTCCCATCTCTGATGCTCGCCTTCAAGATATCTTGAGGGCTGCACCGTTCCTGTGGAACTCGCTTCCCTCCTCCGTTAGATGCTCACCCAGTCTCCACTCCTTCAAAAAATCGTTAAAAACCCACTTCTTCATAAAAGCGTATCAATTAAACTGTTAATAGCTCCTGACTGATTCCTCTTCTGCAACTGTCACTAGTCTAATACTATCCTTACCTTTTTGTGCCACTACACCCCATTCCCTCTAGCATGTAAGCTCATTGAGCAGGGCCCTCAACCCTTCTGTTCCTGTGTGTCCAACTTGTCTGGTTACAACTACGTCTGTTCGTCCACCCGTTGTAAAGCGCTGCGGAATTTGATGGCGCTATATAAATACCATAATGATAATAATAATAATTAGTCTTTGTATGTACACTGTACAATGATAATAAAGTTGAATCTAATCTAAAATATTTTAATAGGTATATATTTGTTTAGTGCTACATAGTAACACAGTTACTAGTTCACACAGTAGAGTAACAGTTTATAATGTCAGTTTTCAGCCCACAAACTTGGAAGGTTCCAGTGTAAGTAGGTCCCCTTTTATTGCTCCCACCTTATAATTGCAAGTTGCAAAAATCACTTTAGCTTGCCCCATCAGTACCTCATGTCAAAGAAGGAGGCTATAGTTCCTTCTCTGCCCTTTAAAATATTTGTTCATGTACACACACACTATATAAACCCCCACATGCCCTGTCAGGTTCCTACGTAGATTCCCGAGCTGCAGTTGCCCTCATGTATGACTGGATGACAGTGTCTGACAACGCCCCTCAGAAAAGTGTGAATGGAGCTGGCAGTAAAGCTGATTTTATTAATGGGGCAGATATAGGATGTATGATAAATCGGATTGCAGATAACAGCTTAAATAAATATCCCATAAATCCCTGCTCCAGTGTGGATAGTGAGAGAGATCTAAATAGCTCAGTCACATTCAGTTCAAGATAGAGATCACTGCGTACACTAAAAGCTCAGCAAAAAGATGAATTTCTAAAAGAATTGTAGCTCTAAGCTTTGCCTTCGAATCAGTGACATTTACAGGGACACTCTAAGCACCAAAACCATTTCATCTTGTAGTATCCCTTTTTCTCTGACAAATGTAAACACTTCTACAAAACGGGAATGTTTACATTTCACAATAAATGGCTTCATAGCAATGAGGTGTCTAATAATGATGAATCCAGATGTTAGTGGAACACTCTTGCCATCTCCTACATCCTAAACTTAATTTTGTGCAAATGTCTGCGACTGACTGCATATGTAATGTGTGTAAGTGCCCCTATGTTTAGCATGTGTGAGGACCTATACATAATGCATGTAAGCTTGTGCTTACCTACCAACAGTCGCAGATCATGGTAGGACCATATTGATCTTAGACTCATGTCTGTCCACTTCCAATAAGTGCAACACAAGCACATGACACTGCTTGCTTATGTTGTCTGGGCACCAGGACCATGCACAGAGAACTTCAGCAGCGCTCTAAACAGTCTGCCATGGAG